CTGATTCATTTACTGCAAATCATCATCATTATCATCATTACAGCCCTTCACAAGTCCACTGCTGAACATAGGCCTCCCCCATAGAATGCCACAAAGCACGGTCCTGAGCCACCTGCATCCATCGACTTCCTGCATGTCTTACCAGGTCGTCACTCCATCTCGTGGGGGGATGCCCTACACTTCGCCTGCCGGTACGAGGCTGCCACTCGAGAACCTTTCTTCCCCATCGGTTGTCGGTTCTTCGAGCTATATGGCCGACCCATTGCCACTTCAGCTTACTAATTCGTTGGGCTATGTCGGTCACTCTGGTTCTACTGCGGATATCCTCATTTCTGAGTTTATCACGCAGAGAAACTCCGAGCATAGCCCTCTCCATAGCTCGCTGAGCGACCTTGAGCTTCCTCATCCGGCCAGCAGTGAAGGACCACGTCTCAGTTCCGTATGTCATCACTGGCAACACGCACTGGGTGTACAGTCTCTTTTTCAAGTTTTGAGGTATACCTGACGAGAAGATGTGCCGTAATTTCCCGAACGCTGCCCAACCGAGTTGAATCCGTCGATTGCCCTCTCGGTCGAAGTTGGACTTACCTAGTCGGACTATATTTGTCCCAGGTAAACATACTCGTCAACAACTTCGAGCTTAGTGTTCCCAACAACTACCGGCATAGGTGTGACATGGACATTAAACATGATCTTTGTTTTGTCCATGTTCATCTTAAGACCTATCCGTTGCGAAACACTATTGAGGTCATTGAGCATAGTGCTTAGGTCCTCCAGCGATTCTGCCATAAAGACTATATCGTCGGCAAATCGAAGGTGAGTGATGTACTCGCCATTGATGTTGATACCGTATCCTTTCCAGTCCAGAAACTTGAAAACATCTTCCAATGCAGCGATAAAGAGTTTCGGGGATATGACGTCACCCTGTCTTACACCTCTCTGCAATTGGATAGGTTTCGTAATCTGGTTTTGTACTCGGCTAGCCATCGTAGCCCTACTGTATAAGCACTTCAACACTTCGATATACCGACAGTCAACTTGGCATCGCTGAAGGGACTGCAGCACCGCCCAAATTTCGACGGAATCAAAGGCTTTCTCATAGTCCACATACGCCAGACATAGTGGCAAATTGTACTCTTCGGACTTCTGTACAATTTGCCGAAGGGTATGTATGTGGTCTATGGTGCTAAAGCCCTTTCGGAAACCGGCTTGTTCGGGAGGCTGGAAGTCGTCAAGTCTGCGCGCGAGACCATATGTAATGACTCTCGAAAACAGCACGTAGACACGGCTCAGAAGGGAAATCGGTCTGTAGTTCTTCAAGAGAGCGTTGTCGCCTTTCTTGAAGAACAAGACCACCGCACTTCTGCTCCACGACTCCGGTGTAATGCCACCATGGAGGACGGAATTAAAGAGCTTCTAAAGGACTTCAAGTACCGGTTTTCCACCCGCTTTCAGAAGCTCCGCTGTAATTCCATCCTCGCCTGGGGCCTTGCCGTTTTTAAGGTGCTGGAGAGCCATTCTAATCTCGCTCAGACTGACGTCCGTGATATCATCGGAATTATGTCGGATAAGACTCGCTCTTGGATCGTTACTCACACTTGCGTGCGGCTCCAACGATGACGTGTACAGCTGCCCATAGAACCTCTCAATCTCACTCAAAATCTCAGGTGCCCCGGAAACGATGCTGCCACATTCGGTCTTCAGCTTTGACAGTTGGCTCTTTCTGGCAGACAGATCTCTGGCAAAGACTTTGGAGCCTTAGTTCCGCTCGATTGCTTCTTCAATACGAGCTGTATTGAAGTTGCGTAAGTCCCGCCGCATGCATTTGGAGATCTGTCTGTTCAGTTGCCTGTATGCTGTCAAATCTGTTGAAGAATGTAGCTTCATCTCCCGTATAACAGCCATGAGATTAAGAGTGTGATCGGAGAGTTTTTGTGTTCTTCTGCGGCGGGTCTTGCAGAACTTAGCTCCGACCGCATGGACAGTTTCCGCGAGCTTGTCATTTATATCGTCCACTTCATTGCAGTCTTCTAGGCACTGAAAACGGTTTTGTAACTCGAGCTGAAAGGTTTCGGGACTTTGGATTAGAGCACGAGGGGGACGGAGCGTTGACTTCATTAGAAGAGACCTCTCTCCAACTTAACGTTTAGGTTCAGTGTGCCTCTAACCATTCGGTGATCGCTGCCGGTTTTCATCCTCGCGATCACTGAGACATCACTGAACAGTTGTCGTCTGGTCGTCATAATGAAGTCAATCTCATTTTTTGTCGAACCGTTGGGGCTCGACCAGGTCCACTTCCTGTGGAGCCGCTTCTGGAAGAAAGAGTTCGTCATAAAGAGTCCCTCTTTCTCCATGAAGTCGGCCAGCTGCTGGCCCTTTGGGTTCCGTTGCCCTATTCAAAATTTCCCCACTTTCAGCTCACCGTTCTCTCTTGTGCCTAGTTTTGCATTGAAGTCTCCCATTAACACCGTATATTGGGTTTTGGAGGAATGCATGGCTCTAGAGATATCCTCATACATTTCTTTTACCTCCCCATCGGGGTGTGCCGAGGTTGGTGCGTAAACCTGTATGACCTTCAGCGAATACCGTTTGGTGATTCTGAGTATAAGGTACGCAACCCTCGTCGACACACTCCCGATCTTTACAACGTTGTTAACGAGAGACTTGTGGACGATAAATCCGACACCTCCTTGGGACAGATGGTCGCCCTCCCGGTGATAGAGCAAGTTGCCGGATTCGAGGATTACCGTGTCCTCCCCCTCTCTTCGGACTTCGGATAATCCTATAATATGCCAGCGCAACTTGTCTATCTCTTCTTCCAGCTCCACGATCTTCTCTTCAGTCCTCAGGGTGCGTGCGTTGTACGTTGCCAGGTCGAGTCGTCTAAGGTGGCAACCGAACCTCCACCGGAGATTCTTAGCACCCCCTGCCCCGCCGTTACCATGGTCGCCACCGTAGCCAGGAATAGCGGGGCCGCCGGGGACTGGGGGCCGTCTCTTTGTTACATTCATAGGGGGGTATTTGCCATAGTTGCCACGCTTGGCGAGCGGGTTGGCAACCGCAGTTTTTTTTATTGTCATTTTGGCTATTATCAGGAAGATGCTGCTGCCCATCTCCTGCCTGTTTCCCTTTGTCGCCTTTTACGACACCCACGGGAGGATATGGGGTAGTGGTATTCTTAACCGCCACTACACGGCACGAGGTCAATCGACGGATTCAACTCGGTTGGGCAGCGTTCGGGAAATTACGGCACATCTTCTCGTCAGACATACCTCAAAACCTGAAAACGAAATTGTACAACAAGTGCGTGTTGCCAGTGATGACTTATGGAACTGAGACGTGGTCCTTCACTGCTGGCCGTATGAGGAAGCTCAAGGTCGCTCAGCGAGCTATGGAGAGGGCTATGCTCGGAGTTTCTCTGCGTGATAAACTTAGGAATGAGGATATCCGCAGTAGAACCAGAGTAACCGACATAGCCCAACGGATTAGTAAGCTGAAGTGGCAGTGGGCCGGCCATATAGCTCGAAGAACCGACAACCGATGGGGAAGAAAGGTTCTCGAGTGGCAGCCTCGTACCGGTAGGCGAAGTGTAGGGCGTCCCCCCACGAGATGGAATGACGACCTGGTAAGACATGCAGGAAGTCGATGGATGCAGGTGGCTCAGGACCGTGCTTTGTGGCATTCTTTGGGGGAGGCCTATGTTCAGCAGTGGACTTGTGAAGGGCTGTAATGATGATGATGATGTTGAAGTTTACAGGTCTCCTAAACTTGAAAAGTCGAACAATGGTGATTACCGTGTGGAGTCTGCATAAGAGATTCCATCACACATTCCATACCGTGGGTGTCGAAAGAGATCTCCTTTACGCCGGACGTAGAATACCCAGGTCAGCGACAGAGAGCAACAGATACGAGTACTAAGAGACTCATATCCAACAGTAGACTTCTTAGGGTTAAAATGAACGTCTGCAAGAGGATGCGATTATGTAACTCTGGTGGTAATCGTTGCTGGTGGGAATCACTCCGCATGACAGTGACAACACTTTGTAACCTAAAATATGTTACTAATATAGAAAACGTGGTGAAAATTTCAAGTCACTTCAGCTCAGCAGCACCGGACGCTTAATTTAAAATGTATTGCAAAATTTCTACCGATCGGACAAACACACAACTTTAATTAAAACTCATTGTGTCACAATAAGCTTTAGTTAAAGTTTCAAGTCCCTAGTCTCATAATTTCCCGATGGAAGTTTAGAATAGACTTAAAAATATTATATCTAACTAGTTGTTTCCCGCGACTTTGCCCGCGTGGAATTTCTTACGATTAGATTTTATGGCTTTTAATCTCTTTGCGAGGAACCCTAATTCCTTTTCTAAAATAAAAGTACTCTAAGTTACTCCGTATATCATTAGCTATCTGTTAGTGAAAGTCCCGTCAAAATCGGTCCAACCGTTTTGGAGAGACAAGACAGAACAGACAGACAGACAGGCAAAAATTTTTAAAATTGTGTTTATGTTATAAGTACCGTACATACTTTCATATGCATTTAGTAAAAATGCTGTTATTTTGACATTACAAACAGACACTTCAATTTTATTTATTTGTACACACAGACAGAAAGACACACATACACAAACATAGCGGTCAAACTTTTTTTCGTCGGGGGTCAAAAAGAAGTATCAATAAAATCGGTCAACCAATGGCGAAGACATCGTGTAACATACATGCATACAAAAGAACGTACAGTCCAATTCCGAACCTATTTATTGAATTCGGCCAAAAACGTGGTAGCAAAAAAACATCGACATTGTATCTGTATAATATATTATATACAGATACAATTAGACAACAAAATCAAACGTTAGAACGATGCCGATCGTGATTTCCACCAGAGTTACATCATCGCACCGTTGATACCAATTAACGAATACGCCACCTTATCAGCTCCCTCGAGAGTCTTCACCACCATATGACTCCAATACTCCACCACTCGTATAGCGTGCTACGTCTCCGGGACATCTGGACGCTCGCAAGACCTCGACACTATTATATACACTTTATTGTCGACGAACTCCCTCCTACTGTCCTCTCTTTCCCTCTCGTAGTTCTCCATAGCTTTCCGTTTCGCTTTCGCGTGTACGCTTGTCATTTCGTTGGGGTTTAACTTAGGGCTGTCGACATTGGCTTTGTCGGTTCGTGTGAGGGGTTCGTTGTGGACGTCGAACTCCTTGTGCCGTCTGATGTATACGTAGTCTCGGTTCGCAAAGAGTCTCTGGAAAGGAGAGGTGATGCTATTAATGGACTTATTTCCGATGATATATTACGACTTAGCATTAACAACGAAAGACTCTAATTGTTGCTCTTATTTGGCCTTAATCGCTGTTGCAAGAACAGTAATAGCCCTTATAAGGGTTCCATACCCGAAAGGTAACCAACGCGACCCTATTACTAAGCATCAGCTGTTCGTTCGTCCGTCCGTCCGTCTGTTAGCGGGCTGTATCTCATGATCCGTAATGGGTAGACAGTTGAAATTTTCACAGAATGTGTATTTCTGTTGCCGATATAATAACAAATAATAAAAATAAATTAAAGAGGACTCCCCTACTAGGAACGTGTTTTACAATGGTTCGGAACCCTTGATGCGCGAGTCCGAGTCGCACTTGGCCAGTTATTTTATGAATATAACGTGATGAAGGAACTAACAGTCACCTGATAATAAGCGGCTAATTCAGTACATATCACAGATTCATTGTCACCACTGCTACTGTGCCGCTACCTACCCAAACAGACTCCTAAGCATAAAAAGAATCACTTAGCTCACGGAACAAGCGTTTGCTAAATAACTATCGTGTGTGTCAACTGTCAATCTAAGAATAAAGTGTGGGTGCCTTAACCTACCCTTATACAAGTCGATCGGTGCCATCGGTTTCCACCAGTTACACAATCGCAGCGTCCCGTCGTCTATATTATGACTCATGGACTACTGCAAGGGACACTCAAAGAGAGAAAGTAAGAAACACTTTATCTAAAGATTTCAAACACGACGAGGTACTCAATTCGACTGTATGTTTTTTTATGTATGTTACCTCATAACTTCTTTCTGGGTGAACCGATTCCGATGATTCTTTTTTATTTGAAAGCTGCTGCTTCTCATGTGGTCCCATATAAATTTGATCAAGGTCTGACCAATAGTTTTAGAGTTATTCTTATTAACTTATATTGAAGTCGGTTGTACAACATTTTTAATTATTTTGGCATAAGCCATTGACGCACACAACAATATACAATTATAATGTAAAAAGAACTGTACTAACTATACGTCGAAATCATGCCAAAAAAGCACATCACTCAGTTGCGGTAACGGTAAGCTACAACGCTGAATTTTTTATAGAATAAGGGTGACAAATGAGCACACAGTCTACCTGATGATAAGTGGATACTGTGGCCCATAGACATCTACATCTACCCTCGACTACGTAATTTGATGTTACTTAATACAGATGCGTTGTCACACCATAAGACTGAGATGGAATACCTCGTTATCAGTAAAAGTCTCTCAAGACAAAGCCTATCAATAAGCAAATCTAAAAGAATGGCGCTCCCCCCCCTCCCCCACCGTCACGCGCGATTGTCACAGTCCTCACGCAATGTTACAAATTCGTTGATCATTTAGCTATGGAGTGGTGTAATTAAATGTTTGATGTAGATGATAGATATGCAGTTGCAACACCTAAATGTATCCCTCGATTTTGTTATCGTCAGTTTTCTGAATTGCCTCCCACTATTGAAGCAAATTTAAAGCTTTAAGAGAGCCGTGGTAACTGAGATGGTTAGCGCTCGCTGTAAGTTTCACAGTACGTGAGCAACCCGGGTTCGATACCCGCCGGCACCAAAGAAATTATTAATTGCAATTTTAATTGCCGATTTACCACGTGCTCGGCGGTGTAGGAAAACATCGTGAAGAAACCTGCATGTTTCAGAAATAAGAATAACAAATATTTCGAAGACACGTGAAGTTCTCCAACACGCATTAGTGCAGCGCGGTAGACATTTCCTTGCCCTAAAACCCTCTCAGGAATGAGAGAAGTCCTGAACCCAGTAGGGGGTCGTATATAGACTGCAACTGTACGTCGAAAAATGAGGTTTTCGCCCAGTATATTATGAACTACTTACCGGCCACAAGACCTCCCAATGTAGAACGGTCTGTCCTTGCACTCCGTTCGCGGAACGCTGCACCACGGCTAGTGCAGCGACTGCAGCGTCCCACGCCCGGCGGTACGCACCGTCCAGTTGTACTGCGGCGAAATCGCGCGCGTTCACTTCCGGGTATCGACCGTACACTGAAGCAAAGACACATAATCATTGAGCTATTTCATTGGTGTCGGGCCAAAAGCACTTATTGGGTTTTCGTAAAGAAATTCTCAGTAGCTGCCCGGAGTCAGGAGGTTGGCGGTGTCTCACCCCCGTGCCTCGGATGGCACGTAAAGGCGTTGTCCTTGCGTCTGATCTCTCTCCGCTCGTGTCGGATAACCGTCCCATCGGACTATGAGAGTGAGGCAATAGAGAGTGCACCTATGCTTGCGCATACACTTGACCACTATAATCCTGTCCTGCGCCGATGGCTAGTCTCCGTTGAGACTGGCCGCCGTGACCGCAATTCAGCCTGGAGGACATTTTCTTTTATAGAAGAGGGGGCAAACGAGCATGCGGCTCACCTGAGGTAAGTGACTACCGCCGCCCATGCACAACTGCAACACCAGGGGAATCGCAGATGCGTTGCCGGCCTTTTAGAAAGGTGTGGACTCTTTTCTTGAAGGTCCCTAAGTCGTATCGGTCCGGAAAAAATCGCTGGTGATAAACAATTTCACAGATAGGTTGTACAAGGAAGAAAACTTCTAGTAAAACACACAGTGATGGATCGCCAAGCATGCAGATGGTGTGGATGGTATCTTGAGTGTTGACTCGATATGTGCGTTGATGAAATTCGGCGGCTGGTATTAATCCGAACAATTCCTCAGAGCACTACCAGTTGGAAATGCGATAGAAAATGCAAAGAGATGCAAGACATTACATCAGGGGGGTAGAGTGGACTAGTATAGACGTAGGCGAAGTCGCATCACGGAGGCCCCTTTTCTTTCGTTCCCAAGATCTACCCAATAGATCTATCCTACCAAACATGCCTTGACACGACATATCTACCTACTCATAGCTATTAATTCCTGACAAGTCTCGTATTCCGTCAATATAACGGTCGCGGTCTTTGAAGGTGGTTACAACGACCTCGCAGTCGCACTTAAGTGGGGCTTCTTGCGAGGCCCCAAACAAATACGCTTTTAAATTTGTGTCGTTCTTCTTCGAGCGTAAAAGTAATCAAATTAATTAGTCATCTGTGGTGTAAAGTCTGGGGACATCGCATTTTAAAGGGCCACGCTAGACGCCTTTAAGTGCGAGACCATGGGCGAGGACCCACTTCGCCCACGCCTAGCTACGCCACTGCATTACATTACAAGTCAGTTAATAATTCCTCAGTAAGCATCAGTAGCTGTGTAATGGCGGCCTAAAAATATTCTCCACCGCATTTCTTTTTGATCTACACAAAAGGTAAGTTCGTTTAACCATTTAATATTAACAAATCATACAATCTTTGATCTGAAATCTAAATATAGTTTGTACTTGAACGCATTGTTTATCTGTGATCGATGTAACAAGCCGCTAAATTGAGACGTAACGTTCTAAAGTAGGATAACCTTACATCCAACCTTACATAACATTGTTTGCTGTAATCGCCTTCAAGAGTGATTAGGGTTGTCAGTCATTGTTTATTATTGTGGCATTTCTATTTAATATACTTTTTATATGTTAACAAATAGAAAATCAAATGTTTATTTTTTAATAATATCTGATATTATATTATACCTAGTCAGGTCATAAATTCTGTCACATGTTTAATATAAAATAATTGAAACAAGTTTATTCATTATGTAACCATTTATATACCAAAATGAACTTAACAAAACATAGATTCTTATGACACTAAAGTTTATTCAAAATCACCTCCGTGATTTTTAATACAGGCCTTCAATCTGCGCGGCCAGTCATCTATCGCAGCACGAACGAGGTCCATGTCAATATCGGCGGCTGCCTTAATCAAGGATGTCTTGAGTGACTCCAAATTGGGATGAGGCTTTGAGCACGCCTTTTCCTCCAAGTGTTGCCATATCTTGTAATCTAACGGATTCAAATCTAGACTGGAGGAGGGCCAGTCTTCGTGCCGGATGAAGTCGATTTCACGCGCCGCCAGCCAGTCTTGTGTGCTCTTCGCTCTATGAGTTGGCGCCGAATCTTGTTGGAATACCCAGTGCCTGTTATTGAACATGGTATGAGAAACAGGTTCCACAAGGTTCGTCAGGACTGTATTTTGATACACAACTGCATTCGTTTTTACACCTTTCTCACAAAAATATACCTCTGTTAAGCCCCAATAAGAAACTCCCAACCATACCATGAGCGAGGATGGAAAATGACCTCGTTGGACACGCGGAATACGGTTGCTCGCTTCTTCACTACTGTGTGCGTACACCTTATCATTTTGTTTGTTGTAGCTCTCTTCTACGGTAAAATTTTTTTCATCCGAAAAAAGAATTTCCCGATATTTTTTTCCCGCGTACCGCTTCAACAAACCGCGGCATCTCTTTAGTCTCAGGTCCATTAGACGAGCATACAAACGATGTCCTGTTTTTCTTTGATATACCCGAAGCCCTAAGTCTTCATTTAACACCCTTTTCACCGTGGTTTTGCTTAACCCCATCTGAAGGGCCAACAGTTTCTGCTTACGTTTGGGATTTCTTTGAATTCGCGCCTTCTCAGCTTTTATCACTGCTGGAGTCCTAACAGACCGAGGGCGACCACTTCTTGACCTGTCATCTACACTAGAGTCTTCATTGTATCGTTTGATGGTACGATAAACGAATCTTTATGTTATATTCAAATTTTTCAGTATGTCATAAATTTGAATTGGCGCGTAACCGCAACGATGCAACGCTATAACTGCAACACGGTCTTCTTTAAGCGTTCACTTCATATTTAAAAATGAGTAAAATTCTAAAAAGTATACAGTTTTATTTTCATGAACAATTCGAAATTCGAATTCAATAAACTTTTTTGTGGTCAGCATTCTAAAAGAAAAGTTTTTACTGTGTGACAATACTTATGACCTGACTAGGTATAATCAAAGAATTCCTGCTGGGTTTCTTGCTGGTTCGGAAAAGGACAAAGGCTTTTTCCGAACCAGTGTTAAAACTATAAACCGATTGTAAGGAAACTTCACGAACACACAGAGCAATGCTATATTTTATACGAAAATCTTTTTTTTTTATAGGTTAAGGGTGACAAACGAGCACACAGTCCACCTGATGGTAAGTGAATGCCGTGGTCCATAGACATCTACACTAATACTCCCAAACGAGTGGACCGATTTAGATTTAGTTTTTTTTAAAGGTGACTTGATCGAGAGTGTTCTTAGCTAAGATTCAAGAAAATCTTTTCAGCCGTTTGAAGATCATCGGCTCTTTTCGTTTCGGGTGTTTTTTTTTTAATTTCTAATTTAAGTTATTAATGCGGCATTCCATTTTGGTCCATATAGGGTTGCCATCTGTCCGGATTAGCCGGACATGTTTGGCTATTTCGGGTTGCATCCGGCCAAATTTTTATGCGTCTGGCCTGTCCGGCTTTTGTTAGGCTTTTTGTTAGTGTAACGCATTGCAAGCATCGCTCGCAGAATAAATAAATAAATAACGTATACACTTATACTGTGCTGTGATTGATTAATAAACAATTAACGTATGTAACGGAGTATTTTAGTTTTTTTCTCGGGGGGTTGGAGTTGATGAGTTTTTTGGCTGCATGGCGTCAGAAAGGTATGTTTGGTTAAAAATTACTGTCCGACTTTTAGGGCCAAAAGTCCGGCTTTTTGGAGCGCCGAGTCCGGCTTTTTTATTTTAGGAGATGGCAACCCTAGGTCCATAGCGACGCGCATGAATTTTGAATCTTAATCTAAGACAGATGCAGGTCTACATAGACCACAAAATTCACTTACCATTAAGTGGACTATGTTACTCATTTATCAACTTTATATTTAAAAAATGGCAAGTAATAAATTTGCTCGAACAAAACAATTGTTGGCAACCCTAAAAGTGATATCAATGATTACGATAAGAATGTTAATGAAGCAAGGTCAAACAATTCAGTGGAAACTTTTATTTATGAAGAATAGATATATTTTTCGGCACGAACCTTCAGAAAGTTACTAAATTGAATGCAATTTTTTTCCGATAACAAATTAGTCAAACAACCGTTCCTTATAACATGATTGTAGTAGATTTTAACCACCTTGGCGACAATATCTGAATATATCATTAATTTTATAATATTTTTTTGGGTCCGATTTACTCAGAACTGCCTCGTGGATCTAGTGGTCGTTAGCGCGACTGCAGTTCATGTGGTCCCTGGTTCGAATCCCGGTAGGGCCAAAGCCAGTTATTGGGTTTTTTTTTCTCAAAAAATTCTTAAGAGCCAGCAAGTTGGCCGTGTTACAACCCCGTGCCTCGGAAAGTACGTAAGCCGTTGCTCTGCTTATTCTGTTTCGGTTTGCCGTCCCATCGCACTATGAGAGTGATCCCTCCTCTACACTTCTCTTACTAACTAGTAACTTTGATGAAGTGCTCGTCTAAGTAGATCGCAGTCCGAAGAACGTGACCACACACTCGTGCTACTTCGAGAAGAGCACAGTCGTCTTGAGTCTCCCGCATTATTAACATGAATAACGTTCAAGAGGCAGCTGCTATAGGTACCTAATTGTATGAACAGTAGGATGTCAATGCGTTAACTAAATAAATAATTATGTAGAAAGCTATATATTTAATATTCATGTATAAAAAATAAATATTCATATCTGGCGCAAGCCGTACAGTGTAGTGAGCCGCTTCGTGTAACTTCGCGGTACGTCGCGAAGTCTTTTACTCGCGCAAAAAACCGATAGTGATTAACAAGTCGCTCCAGGCGAAGCGAGGTTGCAAGAAGCGAATCGAAGAACCTCTCTACACTATTCGCCTCGTCCAAATTCGATCTACCTCGCGAGTAGTGTAGAGGAGGCATGAAGGAATCGAGAATGCACCTGTGCTTGCACACACATCTTGTACACTATACTGTCCCGCGCTAATGACTAGTCTCTGTTGAACCTGGCTGCGGTGATCGAAATTCAGTCCGATGCATATTTTTATTATTATCTTAAAACTTGCAGAAATATTCTTAGTTTATGGATATAATTTAAATAATTGCAGGATCCCAAATAACAGTAGCATCAAGCCACCCTATTGAAATCAGGATGAATATAATTCCAAGCACCACGCGAGTCATCCATAGTTCATCATTACAGCCCTTCACAAGTCCAATGCTGAACATAGGCGTCCCCCAAGGAATGCCACAAAGCACGATCCTGAGCCACCTGCATCCATCGACATCCTGCATGTCTTACCAGGTCGTCACTCCGTCTTCATGATCTGATCTGATACATGAGTTATACGTATATATTTTTTACGTGGTAGAGACATGCTGCACCTATATTAATAGTATAGTTGTAGCACGAATGGGTCCGCTCGACCAGGGAAGGACCACGCTCTCACAGAATACCAGCGTAAAATAGCAGCTTAATGCTGCTGTGTTTCGTATGGTGAGTGTAGAGAACCGGAGACCCATTTTACTGGAAAAGAGGCATTATATCTTAGTCCTCACGGCTGACAATGCATCGGCATTTTAATTCGCAAACAAAGATAGATGTAGATGTCTATGGGCCACAGTAACCACTTACCATAAGGTGGACTGTGTGCAGGTTTGTCACCCTTACTTGTTAACCAAGCATATCTCCGCAACATTTTAAGATATTAATAAAAATGTCCGTCACACCAAAATTCGGTCACCGCGGCCAGTCTCAACCGCGGTCAGTATAGTACGCAAGTATGTGTGTATGTGTGTACGCTTGCACTCTCTATTTCTTCAATCTCGACAACAACACAACCTGCCGGCTACAATTATGAACCTAAACCATTCTCTAATCAACTTAATCACACACAAATCACAATCACAATTTCATCAAAATCAATCCAGCCGTTTAGGAGTTCAGTTACATCACACGGACAGATGACTTATATATGTATACGTATGTACGACAGAAGAATTATATATATACGAGTATGTATAATGATTAGAATAGTATAATATATAATATGCATGTTTTATACATATAACCCTTCCTCTTGAATGATTATGTCCATTAAATATCAACCCGCATCAAAATCAGTTGCGCAGTTCAAAAGATCTAAGCGTACAGACGGCGGGAAGCGACTTTGATTTATAGTATGTAGAGAAGAGATGTAATAAATGAAACTTACCTTTGTACGCGTAAAGGCCTTGACCGGTCTTGTATTCTTTACGCCAAATTATAACATCTTCCGCCTCCATGAACGGCACCCAGCCGTCTATTGACTTCTCTGCGGGATGACCATCTTTGCAGCTGTGACAGCACCAAAATATAAATAAGCAACATATCCTGGACTGGTGGTCACTGTTTAAAAACTATATAGCTTCGAAGCGAAACAACGTCGACAGCACAATTATGACTGATGACATGACTTAAATAAGTTAAAGTTACAGCCTATATACATTACGTCCCACTGCTGGTCACAGTCCTTCTCTCATTTGTGGGAGGGTTTTAGGGAGAGGAAGTGTCGGCCGAGCTGTCCCCATGCGTGTTGGCGAACTTCACATTCTCCGACATATATTTTTCTTTATTTCTCAGAAATGCAGGTTTCCTCACGATGTTTTCCTTCACCGCCGAACACGTGGTAAATCAACACTTAAAATTTCAAATAACAATTTCATTGGTGCCGGCGGAGATCGAACCCGGGATATTCGCGTACTGTGAAACTTACAGCGAGCGCTAACCATCGGAGCTACCACGGCTCTCTACTTAAATACGTCCCACTTTTGGCATTGGCTTTAACCTCTTTTCTGAGAGCATTATGGAGCACTCTATCCTTGAAAGATAGTTGAAGTCCTTCAAAAGCTGATCAATTACAGCGTGGAGTGGAGCAGAAGTACTGAAGCTCATGATCACTCAACAAGCTATAAAGAAGGTTATGCTCAGAGTATATCTACATGATACGACTACCTACATATTGGAGATATTCACAGTGGAACCAGAATAACCAACATAACCCAAAGAATCAGTAATTTTAATTAGCAATGGGCCGGCAATTTTTTTTAATACAGATTAAGGGCGACAAACGAGCACACATTCCACCTGATGGTAAGTGAATGTTGTGGCCTGTAGACATCTAAATCTATCGTCGATTACGAATCAAAATGCAGATGCCTTGTTATCCCCGAGGACCGAGACAGAATTACCTTGTTTCCAGTAAAAGGTGTATCCGATCATCTACACTACGATATACGAAATACAGCAGCATTAAGCTGCTATTTTATGTTACCCCGGTCGAGCCAACCATAACATAGCTACGGCATGGCTCTACCAAGGAACAAAACCAACAGAGAAAAAATATACTCTAGTAGCAGCTTCGTTACGGGTTAGTGGAGCGTGTAGTGGTAAGTCTTTACTACATGTAAACTATGCAGGAAGTTGATGAAGGTAGAAGAAGTGTTCGTGAATGTTCAGAAGTGCACTAGTGATGATGAGGACGATAAAACGATGACGATGATGAAAATGACCATGATGATGAAGATGATCATGGTGATGACGATGATGACGATGATGATGACGAATACCATGACAATGACGATTATGATGACGATGATGACGATGACCATGATGACGATAACGATCATGACGATGACGATGGTGACAACGACCGTGACGATGACGATGACGATGAGAACGATGACAAAGACGTATATGAAAATAATGATGATGATGACCATGATGAAGAAAACGATCATGACGATGACGATGACGACAACGACCATGACGATGACGATGACGATGAAGATGATAATGACGATGACTATGACGATAATGGCCTGCAGAACCGGTTCTGTTTAGATAACAAAAGAACCGGCGCATGCTAATCAGTAATCACAGCTCTATTACATACACATACAAGAAAAATCTTAAGAAAGTAAGTAAGCGGTATAACCGTCTCGTATACACCAGACGTAAAATACCCAGACCGACGACGGGGAGCAGCGTCAAGCGTGCTCACGTCAGGTTCTGCAATTGTTAATCCGCTAACGGTTAGCGGATCGACAATTGCACAACCTGACATTTAGCAGCTAACCAGGCGTAAAGAATATGACAAAACCTGCCTACAACCGTAGAAGTGCATATCCAACAGTGGATTTTTACGAGCTAATGAAAAAGAAGAAGATACGTACTCACAGTACTGCACGGTGGCCTGCTTTTTGTCTATCACCAGCCGTTTCCCGCAGCGCTTGCACTGAATCGTCGACTTTAACAGATTCTTCGCTGTATCGAGTTCCGTCAGCAGCCCCTGCAGAATATTTCTTTTTATAAAATTTGACAAGGTTTGAAAATGACAAACGAACCAACCTATAACCAGCTTCTGCTGCCCACACTTGCAGCAATGTTGCATTGATTTATAAAAACTAGCTCCATCAATTAGAACTAATATTAACTATGATGTGCAGAATGCCGGCTTATTTTTACGTTTTACAGTAACTGAAGTGCCTGAAAACCCCCTTTTTCTACAGACTTCAAAAAGGAGGAGGTACTCAATTCGACTGTATTTTTTTTATGTATACCTTTTACCTCATAACTTTTTCTGGGTGAACCGATTTCGATGATTCTTTTTTTATTTGAAAGCTGAGGCTTCTCATGTGGTCCCATATAAATTTGATCAAAGTCTAACCAATAGCTTTTGAGTTATTCTTAATAATTTATATTGAAGTTGGTTGTACAAACTTTTTAATTATTAAAACAAAATATTAGTTAACTATTTATGAACATTTAAATAATTTTCCAAAATTAACATTTACTTTAGTATCGTAGAAGTTTAATGTAATGAAGTAACAATTATCAATATTAATAAAATAAGTTTGGTGTGAATGAGTACATTTTTTATTCGAAATGAGATAACCTACAATATTGTTTGCAATATATTTTAAGTGAATATAAATATCTTTAAATTTGCTTCAATAGTGGGAGACAATTTGGAAAACTGACAATAATAAAATCGAGGTATACAGTAAGGTGTTGCAGCTGCCTGTCTATCATCTACATCCAACATTTAATTACACCACTCCACAGCTAAAGGATCAACGAATTTGTAACATTGAGTGAGGACTATGACGCATCGCGCGTGACGGTGGGGGGAGCGCTGTCATTCTGAGGTTGTATCGTTACGTACACATATTCACTTAAAACACACAGCTATGTCCACGACACACCCACACCCCGATTTTTTATAGAATAAGCGTGACAAACGAGAACAAATCAGTTCCGCACAGTCAGATCAGCTGTACTAATTCACTGTGGTACATAGCAGATTATTTCAGGACCACTTTAGTGGCAGTTTGTCCCATCCTTAAGCAGTAACATATATAAATAGTTTTACAAAATTACTAAACCAAGTAATTATACAATAAATGTAATAGACAAAAATACCATACCTTAACATCTGTAATCTTTTAATTTTCTTTTAATATTATATTAGGAAATGTTATCTCAACACTAGGATTTTCTCCTGTATCGTATAGACAATTTGTTTTAATAGTATAAGGGTTTACAAACATAAATTGAATGAGGACAAACATCCTGCAAGGAACAAGTATTTGTTCCGTGTGGGATTCAAACCTGCAACCTCCAGCGCAACAACTCATTGCTAAGCCACTGCACACGGAGCCGTCTAATGGATATAAAACCAAAAAGTTTATTTTCCATGTTGTACAAGTAAAACCGTGAGGCGTGAGCCGTGGTAGCTCAGATGGTTAGCCCTGGCTTTAAATTTCACAATACATGAGCAACCCGGGTTCAAACCCCCGGCACAAATGAAATTATTAATTGCAATTTTATGTGCTGATTTACCAAGTGCTCGGCGGTGAATGAAAACATCGTGAGGAAAACTGCATGTCTGAGAAATAAGAAAAAAAATTCGAAGACATGTGAAGTTCGCTAACGCGCATTGGGGCTGTGCGGCGGATATTTCCTTCCCCTAAAACCCTCTCAGAAATTAGAGGAGTTTCAGTAATTAGAGGAGGCCTGTGCTCAGCAGTGGGGCTTATATAGGCTGTAACTTTAACTTTTTTAACTTTAACAACTAAAAGCCTGTCCAGCATGTCAATTATGGTAAATATCCCCCCCCCCCTATGGAGGCAATGATATATCCCTATGTTCAGTAGTGTACAACTAAATGTAATAAAAGCTTAAGCTTATTTCATTAACCGACCTCAAAAAGGGGGAGGTTCTCAATTCAAGTGTATGTTTTTTTTTGTATGTATGTTACGCAATATCTTCGCAGATTGTGAACCAATTTTGATGATTCTTTTTTTATTGAATAGTTTATACTTCAAGGGTGGTCCCATATAAATTTGCAGAAAAAATTCCACCCCTAAGGGTAGCAAGTAAATAACTTCCCTTTTAGCAATTAGAAGGTATTTTGCTTTTTGTGGTATAAGGGTGACAAGCGAGCACACAGTCCACCTGATGGTAAGTGGTTGCTGGGGCCCATAGACATCTACATTTATCCTTGTTTGCGATTCAATCTAACTTCGATTACGAATCAAAATGCAGATACGATGTCAGCCGTGAGGACTAAGATGGAACACCTCTTTTTCTGTAAAAAGAGTCTCAGATTCTCTACAGTGACCATACGAAACACAGCAGCACTAAGCTGCTATTTTACGTTGGTATTCTGCGTGAGCGTAGTCCTTCCCCGGTCGAGCCTACCCATTCAACAGATGCTTTGTCACCTCTGGGTACTAAGACAGAATGCCTTACAGTGTGTAATTATACTGGCTGTATTAGTCAGAGGATGGTACAGATCCAGACGGAGTACAAGACAGACTGAAAAGCAGCCCACCACCTAAAGTAGGTACATTTCTTCTTATTTAATTTATAATAACATTATAAATATTTCTAGTCTAATACAAAGATGTCAAAATGATTTCTTACATATATGCAAATATTACACAATTAAATTAAACTATATTTTACGGATTTTATCGCATATATAAAGTTATGTTATATTCCTGATATTTCAAGCACTTTACAACACCTCTGGTCACAGGGGGGACTGATGTGTTCGACGTCCCAATGTCTTCTTCTTCTTCCTTTATGGCGGTTACGATGAATTCGCCAATGACATGTTACATGTGAGAAGGTTTAATTGGGACACAAACTCTGCTTAAAAAAGGAAATTGATAATACAAGAAATGGTACACGGCTAAACTAAATGGTACACGGGTAAACATAATATTCGTTTGTTACCATTTCTTGTTCAACAAGAAATGGTAACAAACGAATATTATGTTTTTTTTGTTGTTTTTACGCTCTTTTCTTGAAGGTCCCTAAGTCGTATCGGTCCGGAAAAATCGCTGATGGCAATCGATTCCACAAGGAAGTCGTGTGAGGAAGAAAACATCTTCTAAATCGCACAGTGGTGGACCGCCAATCATCCAGATGGTGTGGATGGTATCGGGAATTCTGCCGCGATGTGCGTTCGTGAAATTTGGCGGCTGGGATTAATCCGAACAATTCCTCAGAGCACTCCCCATGGTAAATGCGAAAGAAAATGCTAAGAGATGCAACATCTCTTCGCAGTGCCAATGAGTCGAGCCGATCGGAAAGGACTCGGTCGTCGACGATTCGAGCCGCTCTGCGCTGGATGCGGTCAAGTGGAAGAAGCTGGCACTGGGGAGCCCCAGCCCAGAGATGGGAACAGTATTCCATGTGAGGCCGAACCTGCGCCTTGTAAAGTTGCAGGCGTTGAGCCGGCATGAAATACTGTCCCGCTCTGCTGAGCATACCAAGCTTTTTTGAGGCCAATTTGGCCTTCTCTTCCAAGTGACCACGAAACTGCACGCTACTCGATATGTCGACGCCGAGGATTCCGATACTGGCTGAGGCAACAAGGGGAGTACCTTGAAACTGAGGAGATACGACAAAGGGGTTCTTTTTAGCGGTAAACGCGCAAACTTGTGTCTTCTGAGGATTAAACTGGACTAGATTTAGTCGCCCCCAATCCGAGACTTTGTCCAGCAAAGACTCGACTTCAGACACAAGTTTGTTCCGGTACTCAGTGACGTTTTATGTGAATGATTTTGGTCAACTTAACTGCTGAATCACCTAAAACAAAAGACAGACAATGTTGTTAGAACAATACAAATGTGTTATTATATGACAAACAAATTATAGTTTAATGTTGTTAGAGTTAATAAAATCACATAAAATATATACAAAAGAGGTATTTGTGAAGATTAGAAGGGAGTTAAAGTCTATAGGACGAGGGATGTCAGGGGGCAGATAATCGTAAAAAGATTATGACAATTTGGTGCAGTTAAAAAAAATATGATTAGTGTTTCCCTCATCTAAACCACATTCGCACAGAGAATATCCCTAATCCTGAGTTTAGCTAGGTGAACATAGGTACAGGCATGTCCAATTCTCAACCGGCAGACAATAGAGGTGGCACGTTTGTTTGCTTTATTAAATATGAAAAACCAAGGTCTTGATGGAATGTTATCTTGTATAGCAGCATAGCTTGTTATTACGTGGAATGAGATACATTCCACGTATTAACAAGCTTTTTCCTAGCAAGTGACAACAAGTCATGGGAATAAGTAACATTTAGTGGGGTGCCATTTCTAGTAGCCTCTTTGGCACACAAATCTGCTTTATCATTTTCACAAATACCACTATGACTAGGTATCCTGGCTAAACAGACAGAAACCCCTTTAAGATGACACCTATACAGAATGCTTTTTATATCAAGAATTAGGGGAAATTTATATTTACTTTGAAATTGGTTAGCCAAAATAGCAGATAAACAACTCTTAGAATCGCTAAAGATCACTGTCTTGTCTAGGCTATGTGATTCAATATATAGCAGAGCTTCATGGATTGCAATTGTCTCAGCAGTAAAAATGGAACATAATGAAGGGCACTTAAAGCTAAGGATTATTTTAAACCTGGGGATCCAGACAGCTGCACCAGTGCAGCCATCATCAGTATTTTTGGATGCGTCTGTATACATGGTCATCCAATCTTTCCAATTTTTCCCTATGGCTTCTTTTAATTTTAAATCTGCTTCAGGGAAACCTTTTCTAATATCTAGGTCAAGGTGAATGTTAGGTTGATATATAATAGCTTTGAAAGGAGTATTAAAGAGTGGACTAGTATTGCATGAGAAAATGGGCCCAGGAATTTGGGGAAATGAGACTAAGCTATTAAATAAATGTGGACAATCTTTATGGAGCCAGTACCTACTTGAAGATAAGAATTCTGAGAGGAGGTGTAGCCTGGGAATTAGGGGAT